GCCCAGTAGTAAGTATAAAGATTGTTGTTACAGAAGGATAGTTTTGTTCTATGTGAGATTTTTGTTTCAGTAATACTAGCTATTGTGATATTGTGATAGATGCAGTAATCTTGCCAAATTTGTCTTTTGGAAGAAGTGTTGAAGCCCCTAACATTGTGTGTAGCTATAATGAGGTTCAAGTCATAGTCATTAGCTAATAAAGTTGGTGAATTGATAGGTGATGAAAGGCTAGTTGGAGGGAAGAGTGTAGAGGGGTTTGATGAGTTTGTATTAAGACTTGGTGGGATATGGAGGTTAGTATTGTATAAGGAAGAAGCAGATGTTTGTAGAGGTGCAGGTGAATTAATAGAGAGAGAGTTGTTAAGTAGAGATGCAGATGAATTAATAAAGAGAGAGTCATCAATGAAGGTTGGTATAAAAGAGTTGTTTGACTTAAGTTGTACTTTATAATGGCTACAGAGATATTTAATGAGATAATAGTTTGTATGATTTGGTAAGATTCCTTCATAGGGAAGATATATATGTGCTTCAAAGAAGAAATAAGCAGCACTGATTAGTTTTAAAGATATTTTGATATAGTTATTTGTGTAGAATTCAGGGTATTCTTCTTGAATATATTGCAGGAATAAGCCAATAGTTTGGGGTAAGGGTAGAATTTGTAATCTGTGATAATGAAGGAATTTATTAAAGCATGTGTTTGGGTCAACTTCATGATAAGTGCCTTTCCACCATATTGAATAAGATAGTGATAGTGATGAAGTTGGATCTGTACAATATTCTTCACTGTTATAGTCATCTTCTAATGGTAGTTCGTCAGAGGAGTCTCAGAGTTGGTTGTCAGTAGTATTTGGTATAGTAAGTGCTATCTTAAAGAGAGATTATGATATGGTGTCTGAAGTAGGTAGAATAATGTCTTTTGAAGCAATCACCATATGCCCGGCTTGCACAGCTCCACAAGGATCAAAGGTTCTCTGGTTGTCCTCAACAATGTCATTATCAATATCCACAATGTCATTTAACTATTACTTGCAAATTTTATAATGAAAGACACCACCCAACTGAAAATTACAAACTAATAAATAAAGAAGTCTATTATGCCTACTGTGCAACTACACTTACATCCTCCTCTAACATATCCCAAACCAATATCTCAGATTTAACCAGAAAAAACCTAACTCCTCTTTTCCAACAAGCTTTAGCAGACGAACCCAAATATACACAGCTTCCTAAACAACCAACTACAAATCTACTCACTTTAACTCTCAAACCTCTTACTACTACAGTTAACAATGACAACCTTATTAAAACAAAACTTACTTCTATTTCAACTTCTATGGAAATTGATAGCGATACTCTTCAAAATACACTACATAATACTGAATCAAATAATAACTTCTCTCTCCTCCATGAACAGTGCCAGAGCACAGGATCAATTTTCTGTTCACGTGATTTTCAACCATCAATATTTCGACCAATAAAATTTCAAGATTCACATAATACATAATAGAAATAATATCAAATTTATTTAATAAAAATATAATGTGTTCTCATTATAATAGATTAGGTAAAAAGCATCTCAACAGCTTATATTGAAAGAAATATGTACTTCATATATCGAATTGAAGTTTAATAGTTTCACAATTAAAATTCATTATATCGAAAGTTCAATATAGTGGGAATAATTATTGAATTCAGTGAACAAAACTTTATTTAAATTTAAAATAAAAGATAAAATAAAATAAATAATAAATAAAATAATAAAAAATAAAATAAAATGAAAAATAAAATCAAAAAAAAATTAATAAATGAAAAAAAATAACATCAAAAATAAATAAAACGCTATAAAAAGTTCTAAAATAATAGGACAAAATAACTACCCATGAACTTCGAATAGCTTAAATATACCAATTAATAATGATCCTTATTTAACCAGATAATATAAAAAATTAGTAAGTACTTATTGTAAGATTTGCAAATCTAGTAAAATTAAAATAAGAAAATTGAAAAATTGAAAATTTCAAAGTTACAGATTTTGGTAATAGCTAGGTGCTTAAAAAATCGAATCAGTAATTACAAATGAGTGCTGCCAATACAGTAAATGCAAATAGGTAGTAATTTTATGATAATTCTATTTCTAGTAGTAAAAAAAAAGTAATACTGACTTTGATCTCATTTGAAATAGTAAATATTCACAAACCTGAATACTGATTTAAATTCTTAGTATTCAATTAGTTAAAAATGCAAATTATACATTTTCTGACTGACGTTTTTGTATATCTCTTAATGCATATTAATTATCAAAAAAATGACAATATATTATCATTGAATTGATATAAAAGATGTGCCTCAAGATTCAAGTTCTGCATTCAAAAATTTCTCTTTAATACAATAAAAAATAAATCAAATAAAATAAATTCATAAAAATTATCAGTTTGCAATTATACACTGTACCTCTTGTTCGTGTATACTTGATCATGATGTGTTTGTCCTCAATAGTAAACTCAACAAAACTTGTGCCAGATGCCTGACAAATAGAGCTGAAGCTAGAGCTGAAAAAAAAACTGCTAAAAAAATTGCATTAGATAATAATAATAATAATCATAATGAAGAAAATTTGCTTGAAATTATATCTATCCAAGAAATTAGTGATTATATTGCTGATACGACTGCTAACTTGGAACCTGATGATTCGCTTATTCTTGCCTTTTGTGTTAAACTTGATGAGGATACACTTAGTGCTGCCGATGTAAATGTTAGAATGATAGCTAAATTAATTGTTGACGAAGTTGAAAAAGGAGATGGTTATAATTGGGTGTAAGTAAATAATCTGTTATAAAAAAATAAATATATAAAAAATAAAAAAATAAAATAATAATAATATATATATTTACGTGTAATTATAGTGCTACAACTGCACCAAACTTATTGGCTCGTCATAAGGGTGTTGGAAATGCTTATTTTGCATGCTCCCAAAGTCATGAAACTAAACCAGAGTATAAAGACTCAAACCACAAAAGAATTGAATGGTATAATTGCAATGGAAAGTTGTCTATTAATATTGATATTCTTATAGCAGAAGCAAAAATAACACTGCAACATAATATTATGCATGATAAACCTGATGATATTACAACACCACTTGAAATTAGACAAGAAATACAAGAAAATTTGAATATGAATCCTGTATATTTACGAACACACCTTCGTAAAAAGTTTGATATCTCAAAAATTACTTCAAAGCAAATTTATTACTAGTGGTACTATTATACACAGAAATTCTATAAAGCTGATGAGAATCATATTATTTCTGCACGTATGTACTTTGAGTGCCATCAAGATAGTGGTTGTAATTTATGTTTTCAGCTTGAAACCGATCATATAACTGCTTTTGGATTTGTAACACCATTGCTTAACCAAATGCAAAATATAACAAAGTTATATTGCGATGCTATGTACAAAACTTCTAGAGGTCGTTTTGAGCTTTATATAGACTTGTTGGTAATTTTGACAGTGTGGGCTTTCCATTAGCATATCTTCTTTTAGATACAACAAAAGTTTCTAACATAGAAACTCAAGAAGGATTATGTACCAAAGCTCTTGCTTGATTTTTTCTTGCTGTTCATAATAAAGGCTTAAATCCAATTTATTTTTATACTGATAAAGATTTTGCTGAAATAAGTGCTACAAAAAGTGTATGGCCAGAAAGTGATATACAACCATACCAATAGTATATCGAAAAAGCACTTAAGCAAAAGCTTAGAAGCCATAAGCGAATTCAATGTATAAGTTATCAATATCAAGAGGTTTTAGACGAGTTTACCTTTGTAGATCCCTCTTTTATTTCTGATTTACAACGCACAGATGCTGAATATTATGTTGTTTGTTCACCAAAATTACATGAAACTATTATTGATCTTGTTAGAAAGCATTTTAATATATATCCCAAAATTCCTATTAATTTTTATAGACAGTTTTTAACTCCTAAAGAAATAAGGTTTGAAGCAATTCATAAAATATATAATTTTTGTTTCACAAATAAACTTGTAATACTTTGGGCATACCTATGGTCAGCCTGATATAAACCTACGCGATGGTGCTTTTGGGTATGCTCTACTCGAAAAACAATACCTTTGGGCAAAACAAATAAGATGATTGAAGCTCACTGGAGAGTTTTAAAACACTGTTATCTTTATTAATTTCATCGTCCACGACTTGACTATCTTTTTTGGATAATATACTCATGTGTTATACCTAACCAAATTAATAGGTTTCAACAAATATCACTAGGAAGATTAGTACCTTCATGGTTTGAAAATTTCAAAAAAGAATGGAATGATAATCTTACCCAACCAATTAATAATATTGATGAATGCTACTTTATTGATCTAACACGCTGGATTTGTAGCTGTCCTTCATTTCTTTTATAGTCGCTTTTTTATTTGCAAACATTTGATTTTTAAAGCTTCAAAAAAGGTGGAAGATTCTTTACAAAGTATTCGATTAATATATTCAAACTTTAAATGTCAAACAGATTATCCTTTTTTGATATGAGATGGAAGTGGATCACAAAGTGCTTTAGAAAGACCTCAAAGTTTAGAAATAAATAATATAATTAGTACATATAATCAAGATATAAGTAATGAGGATAATATTGAAATACACCAAAAGATTGAATCAAAAATAACAAAGTTGCAACATTTAATTAATCATATTAATGAGGAATGGGCAGCAAACAATATAAATCATATAGAAGCAATCGTTAATAATCTTGATCGTGCCTATACTATTCTTGAAGATATTAATAAAGAGAAAAATAAAAGGCTACATGGAACAACTTGGCATGGATCAAAGCCTTGAACTATATATCTATAGTATTTTAAAATAGAGTTTTTGAAGATTATAAATATATATATGGCTTTCATTAATAAAAATACTTTTTTTTTTCTCTTACCATATTTAATCTTTATATACAGTATATAGTATATATTTTAGGGTTCCTAGGTTCAGTTCAGTTCAAATTTAGGTTCAATGAACCTGAACTGAACCTGAACCTGAACCACAAA